CACCGTATCCTCCTCCGAAGCCACCGTATCCTCCTCCGAAGCCACCGTATCCTCCTCCGAAGCCACCGTATCCTCCATAGCCACCGTATCTTCTTCTACCGTATCCTCCATAGCCACCGTATCTTCTTCTACCGTATCCTCCATAGCCACGGTACGCATGGGCAACACCCAGTACCTAAAAAGGCACAGCAGAAATTGTAAATGCATTGCAGGTTTGTGAGTAATGCGTGTCCAGTTAATCAATATGTGATTAAATTCATCGAACAACAAGCACTATATAAATAACATACAACAACTACATCAATGTAGGTTCTACACTTTTTCGGGTTCTCTCTGGGAATTCCAGAAGGCACGTTGGGCAATCAAGCAATTTTTTCCTTATTGCTAATTTGAATCAATTAAGCATTATATAAGTGGCCACAATACACAGGAGGTTAACTAAATCAGTTTGGATATATGTAAACATCAAGCTTTGAAAACACACCATGACTGTGTTGGTAGGCTGTCAAAAGTGAATAGTTGGAAATCAAGGCATGATGATTAGGCAATCATGGCACGTCAGGAGATTTATGGGATGTCACAATTTAGACTCAGCATTGAAGGCATGTCAGACACAGGATGCCTGCATGGGGAGAACCCTTCTCTTATTTTACTATACTTACCAGAACAAGAGCCAAAACGGCAACAAGGATGGTTGTTGAAAGCTTCATCACGACTTCTTTTCTTGTTTCTAGGCTGACTAAAAACGAGAGTTATGATATATTTATTGTCTACTATTATTACATATTATTCATTACTCATTTAATGTATAGAACAAATAATAATAAAGAAATATACGTAAACATTACATAAATGTATCTACGCCAAATGTCTATTTTATACATAAACTGGTTTATAGTGGAATGAAAGTTTATCTGTATTAAATTAAAATTCATAACCAAATAATGAAAAATCACATATATATAACACATGAATTTGTACTAATAATTAATCTAACATAACCAAAAACTTACAATAACAAATAAATATAGTCTTAAACCTTTAGTAAAACGTTGCATATATAGACAAGAAAATCAAATCATACCTTGTATTGAAGGAAGCTGGCACTATGCTTGCAAACCGTGTTATGTATCTCACTACCAGAGCCTCGGTCTTTTATATTACTCAAGTTTACCTTGACCCACATACATTTCCACAAGTGGTTTTAATAATCCGGCAGATCCACAATATTTTTTTGTCAAGAAGATGACGGGGCACTTTTGAACAAAAGACACATCATGAGTGGCTCATACCGGGTTTACACCCACTCAAAATACCTCACATCACAAGTCACTGTTTGCATTTTTGTGCAAAGGTCCCAAGATAAATGTCAGAGTAAGAAGATTTTATGTGGTTTGTTATTTTACAAAGGTCTCGTTGTTCGGGTATGGAAGCATACTATCAGGAGTTAATAATGACAATTTGTCAACAAAATTATGCACACCTGTGTCAGTTCAAAATTGATGTGTGCATTTTATTAAATTCATGTATCTGTATCTGGTTAGGAAAACATGTGACATATATATATATGTACTCCCAGAAAAAATTGCGCATTACATTTTATATCTGTAATCAAAAGCCATGTAGGTTAAAGTGACATCAAACGTGTATACGAGTAGTAAGAATACAACAAAACTATGTCTGAATTAACCTTACATATTCGTATTGGGAACAAAGTTTCCCATGTACCGGTGTGATTGTCACTTATCTTTGGCATTAAATATCTAATTTATGATTTAAATATAATATTATTATAAAAATGACCGTGCATAATTTTATCATACATAGCCAATTACTTAGTCTTATTACGCCAAAATTTTAAGACAACCTTATAAAATGGCTTCGTATTATAGGGAATATCAAATAAAAAACCTTCAGTCCCTATAGAGAACTGATACACTCCCTAAAATAACGCTTGCCCTATGTACTAAGAACGCTCCAATACGTACCATTCTGCTGCAAAAAATACCAAAATATGAATACTTGAATGAATTTATAGAGCATGAGAAAAATCAATTTATCTTATATCGAAATCTCATTAGCATATTAAAAGTTCTATATGAGGTGTATGGATATCAAAATACTGCATATATATTCTTATGTTATTTAGAACCTATTCAAACGAAATATATGCAATATTCAGTGGCGAACAACAGGTCGTGACTCGTGAGTCTCGTGACTGTGAAGGATTTAGATATGAATTAGCAGACTTATATTTTATGTAAAGAAAGTCTGATCAGTTGTGGAATTTCTGAACAGTATCAGCTTATTACATCTTCTTAGTGCTGGGTGTATAGCCTTGAGTAAAACGAGTTTCCAGGACTTACCAGTGCCATGCAATGTCATAGACCAGTATTCATCTCCCTTCAGGCCATATTTGCAAACAGCCTGCCCTTGGTAAACCTCTGCCAGCACAGGTCTGAAAGTTGTTTCTGCCAAGAGGGATGACCGTGGTAACAGAACACCCTCCGCTGGATTGATGTTAAATGGCAGACTAACATCCCACATAAATTCTGCTGGCATGGAACTAAAATGCAGTAGACGAATGTTTCAATTTATGATAATTTATGGTTACGATGACTGAGAAGCAAATGCAGTTGAGAGGGTAGATTGGCAATATTCTAAGGCATAGCAGAGCTCTCCTATAAGTTTAAATTATACATTGGTCGCACACGCACCCAGGCGCACACGGGCGAGTTGTACCTACTCACGAAACAGCATAGATTTTCTGAAAATTTATTAACCTTCTATGTCATTTTGGGCATTTTATTTTCACCTAAAGAACAGAAAATGTTGAAAAAATACAGAAACATAGATATTTAAAAAGGCTGGAAATTAAGGAATACCGATTAGTCAATTTAAAACTAATGTCACAGGATTAACAGGATGTTTCAAATTTACTTCAGTTTTGAAGAGATGTCACACCCAACATGTGTTATTAGCCTGGGAAGAACCCCGATATAAATGTGTATATATATATACAGACACATATACATACATATAGGTTAAAAAGTATCATAATTCATTTGAACTTCATTCTCGTATTGGTGCATCACAGTTTGTTGAAATAATGTCTTCCATCTACAAAAACTAAATATATCACCTACATCAGGCAAAAACAAACTCATAATAACGTCAACCTTAAATTGTGCATCTGAAATTGGGTAGTAGTTTTCTGACTTAGAGCACAGAATCCAACATCAACTGCAGCAGGTATAACCAGCTCACACTGTGGTGAAACGGCCCGTAGTGGTATCGTGAAAGTTTCTTTCTGTAATAATAAGGCAGAAAAGTATGTATTCATTAATATGGTGATAATTATGCAGGAGTAATTAGAACTATTAAATGTTGAATACCACATGGATAACTGATGACTTCACATGCATGATCAAATATAATAGATTCACATAGATCACAGCAGTTCGAAACAGTCATATCCCTACCGAAGTTTGGATGTTAATTGCATCTTCATACACGTCTTTCTGCTCAGGTCGGAAGGTTACTGGCAGAGTAAAACTTGCTCCAGTGCACAGAACGATCGGCTCAGGAAACCGTGTACAGAAGTGTTTTGTCTTTGGGACACTGGTTGGAGCATAAATCAAATATTACTATACTGTTGTGTTTGTATGCATGAACTGACTATAAAAACAGAGAAGGTATGTCCACATACACCCACAGCACACATCACATTTCATTACATAACAAATACAGCTTGATAGGTGCTGAGGCTAACGCCACAACCGCTTCTTACCTTCTTACTTCTTACAGAGAAGTGCTTGCGACTGGAAATTGGTTTATAGCAGAGCTCTACTTTTAAAATAGTAGAAACACGAATATGGAATGTGAAGACAGTAAACTAAACAACTCCTATATATATTCTATCAAGAGCACATAGACTCTAGTTTATATGCTTTTCATTCTATATATTCTGGATATAGTTAATTGGTTTTACCGACGCAAATGCACGGATTTCCAGTGATATTTGCTAAATTAAACACAGCTCAATATGCTCAGGACAATTATTGCATGAATTCATTACTATAAGTATAACATTTTTTATTACATTACACCTCGATGACCATGCGTTACAAATGACACTGCATCCCACCAACTACTGTCATAATATTATGTAATTAATTATAAACCTGCATAACACAGTGGCTTAATATTTATTCATTTATTTCAGTGCCAGGGTCACTATAAACGACTGAGTATATACGTATGCTTTCTATGTCCATGAGTTATGCTCCGTATTAATGGAAGAGGAAGAAGAACATCAATTTGGAAATGCATTTCATTCTGATATTCATACTAGCACACTAGCACCTGCTATTTTTTCGCATGCGCAATTCACCTGGAAATTGCCAATCATGGATGATTCTTTCAGCAGAAATTTTGCGCTCTACTTCCTCAACCTCTTCTGGGTTCTTACCTCCTACACAACGTTTACTTGTGCTACCTATTCCACCATCCCTTCCTCCATCTTCTGATCCTCCTCTTCGCCTCCCTCTCCCCTACATACACGTCTGCCATATCTTCTTCCTCTGCCTCTTCTCATCTACTTTATCCACTCCCCTAGCTTGTCCCATCCTCTAGTTTGTCTCCTTCTCTAGCTTCTCCCCTCTTACTTTTGGCACCTCATAAAGCTTCTATACACAGCTATACTCTTCTCTCCCTCATATACCATGCAGAGTTGGTTTTATACACTGATAGCAGAGACCAACATTACTCTGTTAAAATAAGACATCGACTAATTCGTCCACATTCATTCTTACAAAAATAGAGAATTAGTATTAAGTAGTAAATGGTAAATTGGTAATAAAAATAGAGAAAGCCATGCAGACACTATATTCACAATTATCACATTTATTGCTCTTCTAGAAGACGTTAAAAGTTATATAGGTGATAAAACCATAAAAATGTCCATTAAATAAATAAAAATACTAATGGCGAATTGTGTTAGAATATTGCATTCTTTCTTCCCTTTCTCTTAAATCAATTAATAATAAATGCCCTAGCTTGCCTGTTATACGCAGTTAAAAAATAGTTGCCAAGAGTACAATATGGGGTGGCAGTTGCCAGTGGCACCGCTGGCATTGTATGCAAGCGATCACTGATAGATTTTAAATCATTTTAAAAAACGTTCTTAGTGAATATTAAACCTCAAAATTAAGTATTTAGCATAATTTAAACCTGATTTATCTAAAGCCATGAATTCCACCTACATCAACGTTCTTCTTTAAATATAATACAATAGCAAACCTAATAACAACTATATTGGTTTTTACCTGTGTGTGATCTTTATGGTCGTATTTTGTTGGACATTTTTAAGCACAATATATTTCACATACTCTGCATTTGGTTTCCAGCTTTGCCATGTCATATCACCTTTAATTTCCAAACCTGTTACAAAGAAATCGTTATTTAAATGCAGCTACATATATATACTATACTATTCGATCTATATAGTCAAATATTCTCCTGAATAAGATATATGCTGATATCATGAAAGATACAAAAGCTACAAAGTAAATTAAACAGAACACATGTGCCCTGTTATTAAACTACTTGTCACCATCAAAGAAATTCGTAGATGGTCAGTTGCAAACTACCAACCCTGACTCAAGAACACTGCATCATATATTATTAGCCTTGAGACGAGGTAAAATGGAAATTTTACGAGCTATCGTTTATTAAAATGTGTGTTTTATATAATATGGTCTGAGAACATTGAAGCACCTGAATCTGGCAATACGTACTATGGTAAAGGCTTTGCTTTTCTGAATTTCTTGTAACCGTTTTCATCTTCTGACCTATTCTCATCATGTTCATTATAGACTTTTACACCTAAAAAAAGTTTTGCTTTTTATTAGATAAATGAATGCCATTGGAATCTAACGCTGAGAGGGTCTATGTCCCCCAGGGTACTCCCGGAACGTACCCTGGGTACGGTCCGGTATACCGGAACTACCCTGGTACATATCTAAATATGCCGGACCCGCTACCTCGCCTACTCACTAAACGAGTCTAGGCGCAGTCGCTACATACGCCTACTGGCCCTTAACCTAACCCTAACCCCATATCAGATAGTTACCAGGGTAACGTTCTGCTATATAGGCCGGGGACCGGCTACCCAGGCGCTACGCGTTCCGGCGCGAGTACCCTGGGGGGGGGACATCAGATCCTGGGTGCAGCGGTAGTCTAATTGGCTCTGCTCACACATTGACCGATTTAGCCAGGGCGTATGCCGCGACGGTTATAAAAAATTTGCTCTCGGTGAATACGCTGCGGCGTACGTCGAATAAGTTATGCGGTAGCTTTGTATAAGTTGAAGGCACGCGCGTGAAGCACGTGAAGCAGCGCGCTGGAAGCACGCTGAAGCACGCTGGAAGCACGGCTGGCAAGCCACGCCCTGCAAGCACGCCTGAAGCACGGATGAAGCACGCTGAAAGCACGCGCGCGTATACGTCGTTTTATACGGCGAGGTTGTCTAAAAATTTAGGCATGGCCCTTCAAATTTTCCGCACGGGTATGCAGCCGCTCATGCCCATACGGTCCCGCGATACGCGGGCCATAGAGTTGTAAGGCAAGTTGCCGATCGTTGACACACGTTCGACACACGGTTACTTCGACAAATACGCTCGACGATAATCTGTCTAGCGCTACCCAAAACCCTTATTTCTAACTTATGAGTAACGTGCCCTTTGAAACCTATGTGTAACTTATCTCCAACGCCATATTGACGTATGCCTAGTACGATTTTACGTGTTCCGGACGACTCACAGAACTTACTGAACGTGCTTTTCTAACTGTACACTACCGTATATGGGGCGTATTGCAGGCGTTTGAGGGGAATTGGTAGTATAAAGAGATGGTAATTGGCATGTTGTTACTAGCGACGTGATGTTGATACTGTGATGCTCGTAGTGCGTTATGATTTGAATCGCATTCTAGGGACAACTACCCCTGGACAATTGAACCACCGGCACAATTACCCCCCGCGGACAATTACCCACCAGGACAAATTACCCACCCAGGACGATTACCCACCCGCGACAAATTACCCACCAGGACAATTACCGACCAGCGGACAATTAACCCCCGGACAATTACCACCAGGACAATTACCCACCAGGACAATACCCACCAGCGACAATTACCCGCCAGGGCACAATTACCCACCTAACCTTCCATAAGGATAAAAATTCCCCCTGCGCGTAAATTTTTGTCCGCTGCAAACATAATGTATGATCTGGCCAAAAGAGAGAAAATGTCTACCCATTGTGTCAGGAGAACAGCGCGTCGCATAATGACGGGGGGGGCGCGAGGAGTCGCCCCTACACCTCCCTATAATGACGAAGCTTGTAACTCCAAATGCATCTTGCTCTTGCGCCATGCTACATTATGTTATGTAACTGGCTTGTAGCGTGTGCTGCGATATGCTGGCATCGGCTTGTTGTGCGTGCGTGTGCTGTCGTACGTGAGTGGGAAGGTATAGCTGAATTTACAAGAATTATTTTTACAAGTGTTAAATACTTGTGCTGAAGCTGGGGGGGGAAGAGCATGCCCACTCCGAAAAAATTCCTTTTTATTTGAGTGGCCAAAATGCCGGCTGCAATTTTGACGCATTAATTCTAGGCTGCATCGTATCGTGCATTTTGTGCCTGGAGCCTTATATTTTGTAGGATTGATGATATTATCAGCAATTTGACCCACATGACAAATACATTCACTACTTTACTGCAAAAAATATAAACGTACTTAATTAGTCAATTTTCACAGCGTGATATATAAATTCTTGTTATAAGCGTCATGTAAGTCTGCCACTTGTGGGAAGTACTGCTATATTTTGCATATGCTACATTCCTTTACTTTCACTTCATGAATAGTATATAACAATAATTCTAGGACAGTGCGCGCCCAAAAATGAAAACACATGGTACATGGCTGAATGCTTGTGTAACAGAATAGAATTTCTGAATAAAGTTTCAAATCATAAACTGAATTGTCTAATATGAGTGTTTTAGAATCATTAGTTTTCACATATTCATCTCTTGAATCGTATACAGATTTTTAGTTTTTATTTGCATTGCTGATACAGGTAGCTGATATGCCTACATTCTGAAAACACATGCATTATCCATTATATCGCAATACATACATCTAATGATGCCTATTCAATAAATTCCGAATTTTAACAACGCCTTGAGGGCAGCAGACTCGCCAATTTCAGCGCATCGATAAATCGAACACGCCTTTATGGTAGGATATTGCGAGCCGGAAAGATTGCAAAGATGGACTCAGCATCATGCGAGCGACTTAGATGCCGCGCGGCAGCGCACGCTCCGGCGAGTACTCGCCAGCCACTGTCCCGTAGGCCAGAGTATTACTAATGTCTACGCCGAAAGTAATTACGATGAGCGCGTGTCGCCGTCGCCTGCTGCTTTCTTATTTACGCGAGTGTGACATTCTACCGCGAATTGCAATAGCAGCGCTAATAAATTTAACTTGAAGAATAACAAGAACAACAACTACAAGAGATAAACGCGATGCGGCGACTGGCCAGGCCTGCGCGTGGCCGAGCACGCCCTTCTAAAATAAATATATGCTTATTCATTAGCCGCTTCACACGGAGCGAAGGAACTCGGCTCGAAAACGACCCGCTGTCGAAAAACGACACGGGGAGCCGTCGTTGTAGAGAGCCTTCACATTTATGCTATGCCGAAGATGCGAGCTGCAGAAAAAAAATACAATGGCGTCCAAGGCGACAATGCGAATTAAACAAGATCAGAGGTCTTTGCTGACTGACTTCAACTATTCTAGTTTACTTTCGCTGTTGTGACGTACTAATTCCAACCCAGTCGGCGCGTTCACACGGCAAAAATGCAACCAGGACTTCGCGCCGTTGTTCCGACCCGAGTCGTTTTCGTACGAAGAAAACGCTCCGGTCGTGAACGCGTGCGTCCCGGACGCATTTGACACGCGCCGTCAGTTTTCAGACCGAGTTCCTTCGCTCCGCCGTGAACGGCGCGCTATTGTATTAAGCGAACCCAAAATGCTCTGACTGTACGTGGTGCCATGGTGCTGCGCCTCACTTCCGCGCTGCTGATGCGCCAGCGCTGAGCCGATACTTGCCCGATATGAACTTCAATAGCGCAGTGTTTCATGTTGTATAAAACATTAACTCATTATGCGCACCATGCCGCAGCTTTAACGTTGGCAGCAAGCAAATGCATGATACTTGTACGATACGTGCACACGCACGCCACGGCACGCATGCACGCAACGCTGTACGTGCGCCACGCACGCACGAAGCCACGCACGCCACGCACGCCACGTCTTACGTGCCCATGCAGTGCACGCGTCTACCTTGCCACACACACGCACGTTATCGCACGCGACGAAACACTATGCCCCACACAGTCTACACAGCGATATACCTGCACACGCCCACAACGAGCACGCACGCTACGAAACGTGTACCTGCCACACGCGCCACGGCACGCAGCGCACGCACGCGCACGATCATCTGTGAATGTCAACAGACACGCCCTTCGCTCTCTGCCCAACCATGACACATACAAATACACGCCTGACCTGCTCTATGACGTCACTGTGCCAAACACGTCTTATATCGGGTGATCGGAAAATGTCGCAAATAAGTCAAAATAGGTCAGCAGTATCAGCCAAACTGCTTGAAGTTTGCAAATTATGAAAAAAAAATCATGAAGTGAGTCCGTTAGCGATGAATCATCATTACTGTAGCGCGGGCTGGTGTGTAGAGTTGCGTGGGGGGGCGGGGATAGGAGTAATCCTGGGTGGGCCGTGGCGTAATTGTCCTGGTGGGCCTAATTGTCCGGATGGTAATTGCTCCTGCAGCTGGATAATTGTCCGCGTCGTGGGTAAGTTGTCCGGCGTCGGCGTAGTTGTCCTAAGCTGCGCGTAATTGCCCTCTGCGTAGGTAATTGTCCTAGTGCGGTAATTGATCCTGGTGGGTAATTGTCTGGTGGGTAATCTCCTGGTGGGTAAATCGTCGGGTGAGGTAATTAGCTCCTACGTGGGTAATTGTCCGGGGGTGTAATTTGTCCGGCTGGGTCTAATTGATCAGTGGGTAGTTGTCGGAATACGATTTGAAATCATCGAGCGGGCAGCCCTTTTATACTAGGGCCGTAGATCACCTGCATACGTCTTGGCATTTCTGCTTTCTTTTTTTCGCGCGCTATCCTGCACAACGTATAGACTATCCTTGGGCCATTAAGTTATGTAGAACGCCGGCAACACCCCTAAGCATTCGTTTGGTATAAGCTAGTATCTTCATAAGTATATCGAAACGCTTCTATATACATTACTAATGCGTTAAGTATACGCTCCAACTCGTTATGAATACGCCTATGATATAGCCCCAACTGAAAAAACATCGCATAGTCAGCGTATGCCAGCCGTTTAGCAGAAATTTTTGATACCTCCGGCCATACGCTGTCTAACAATCGTCCAATGTGTGACAGGCGCCATAACACTTACAACAATTGTACATATCATGATGTATATCAGCATTTGTGTAACTCTGTTGGGGATGTTGCTGATACTCTCTACCTTTCAAATTATCATGATAGTTTTTGGATACCCATCTCGCATCTTTACGCTGAATGGCACCAGTTCTGAAGCGTATAGGAGCACCAGCCTGGCGAAGCATGATATTCTAATATCGCGGCCCCAGAACTAATAAATAATTTCAAATGTTCACTTCAGTTTCTAACTTGAGCGTTTGCCTCCTCGCTTCTACAGTTCTAGCGCATAAAGGCCGCGACGAACACTAGCGGTGATTAAATCGGGCGACTAAATCAGCCGGGGTGAAAAGTCACCTAGTGTGCTCCACTCAGATCGCCGGGCCATTTAGTTCCCCGCGGCCGATTTAATCACATAGATCAAAACGTGCACATGTACGGTGCACACCGCACGGCAGGCGACGCACGCAGGTTCAGCCGGCAATGCTCAACGCACGCACCGAGCACGCATATATGGCTGCATACGCACGCTGCCGCACGCACGTATACGTGCACACGCCATGTCCGCAGCCACGCATGTACGCACGTGTAAAGTGCACCACGCACAGCACGCACGCACGCGCCGCACGTAGCTTACTTGCACAACGCACGCCACGGCGCGAGGCAGGGTGCTACGTGCCACAGCTCACGCCACGCACGCACGCACGTGTTACGTGCACACGCCACACATGCACGCCACGCACGTGTACTGCCGCACACGCACAGCACATGCCACGCACGTCGTTACGCACGCACGCCACGCCACGTATACGTGCACACACACGATGCAGGCAACGCCCACGCACGGGTATAACATGAACACGCCACGCCACTCACACACGCCACCGCAGGCACGCACGTGCTACGTTCACACGCACGCACGCGCGCACGTGTACGTGTGAACGTACACATGCGTGCCTGCGTGCGTGTGTGAGTGTGCGCGTGCGTGCGTGCGTGCGTGTGTGTGCAGGTACACGTGCGTGCGTGCCTGCATGCGTGTGTGTGCACGTATACGTGCGTGCGTGCGTGCGTGTGCACGTTCACCTGCATGCATGCGTGCGTGCGTACGTGCCTGCGTGCATGTGCACGTACACGTGCGTGCGTGTGCGCGCACGTGCGTGCATCGCTATTACATGACATGACATACTAAACATGAAACATCGCTATTACGTCAGTATCATTGAACAACTCTGATTGGCTGATGAATTGTACAATCGCGCGACTAAATCGCCGACCCGGACACACTAGTTTAACACCCGATTTAATCGCCTAGTGTGTCCGGCCCTTTAAAGGCACGCCAACAGCGGCAACAATTACTTTCGTTTTATAACCAGGCATAACTGTATAAATCACAATATCGTGATTGTTGAGGGCCAAATCTTAGTTTAGCACCCAGGATTAGTTTAGCACATCTTATTATTATTATCATTATTTATTAATGGATGGTACATTGGTAAAAGATATATCAACATGAGCTTGCAAGTTCCTCACCACCAGTGCAATAAAAAAGTTCTTAATTAAAAGTGCTAACTTAGGAAGTGACAAGTGATGACACCAGAGCAGCTAGGTACCCCCTAGTTAAGTTTTTGTACTTTTACTAACACTAAATCACGCACACTATATTATAACATTGTACAAGGCGACACTAAATGTAAAAACCATAGCAACTACAGTAAAAACCCGTGTAGTAAAGGCAACTGACATACATATACGAGAACACGCGAATACTAAAACATAAAAACAATAACCACACGAGGATGCTAAAACTATTAGTCGATTAAAAGAAAAATTCTACTGAGGAATATTGGAGCATGGCATGTGATGGATTGACTGATATATATGTGTATAGAAGTTAGAACAATTACAGCGAATAAAATGCAAAGAAGATATATAGACATGTTACAAGGATCAGTCGCAAGAGTGCTACAAGTACAAGTAAACAGACATTATGGAAAAAGTCGCGAGAAGAATACAGTAGCAGCCGAGTTGATGATTCATATCGAAACACATCCCAGTCTGTTGCGTGTTGGGTGGGTGGGGTGGGGTGGGCTGGGGGTGTCAGCGGCACATCGCACATCTGCAACAGAGAGGCCTGTAACCTGACAGATGTTGGAGGGTAGTTGACCACAACCAAGCGCTATATGATACCGAAAAGATTATTTGCCATGAGCTATTCTATGGTCGGGAAGAGCAAGAGTTTGTATTTTGAAAGTTGTAAGGGGTGCACCAGTATTTGAAAAGACTCTTTATATAGGTTGGGGTTTGCCCATGTAATTTTATTACTATTAGTATTAGCTTTGTACACTTCTGACGCTCTGTAGCAATGGTCTTATTTTAACTCGCCCCAGTTCTAAGCTAGGAAGATTGGTGTGGGCTAGAAGACCTTCGTAGGCATAAAAATAAGTTTATCTCAGTTAGGCTCATATGGTCTATGTCCCCCAGGGTACTGCCGGAACGTAACCTGGGTACGGTCCGGTATACCGGAACGTACCCTGGTAACTATTTGATATGGTTAGGGTTAGGGTTAGGGTTAGTGTTAGGGTTAGGGTTAGGGAGTAGGCGTAGGCGACTCCCTAGACTCGTTAGTGGAGTAGGCGAGGTACGGTCCGGCATATTAGACAGGACCAGGGTACGTTCCGGCAGTACCCTGGGGGACATAGACCCTCTCAGCCTCAGTTAGATCCATAATAAGTTCTAATTACTTACATCGACTGAGGAAGTCTATCGGAGAGATGGACGAAAATCTCGTCGTTGTAAGTAATTATAACTTATTATGGATCTAACTGAGATAAACTTATTTTTATGGGAACCGATTCGATGAAATTATTCAACGATCTTCGTAGGTGTGGCCACCATGAGTCTTGACCAACGACAAAGCAGAGTGCTCGTCTCTGTATTTCACTATTTGTTCAAGTTCGTTAATCTTTTCCCATGTAGTGTACAGTGTAGTGCCATACTTAATTGGCCCATATGGCAGGGCAGTAGTTGAATTTTGCTGAGGCAGTAAGATTTGATTTTACAACAAGTATATTTAAAGTCTGGATTTGTAATCTAAGTATTTTCCGAATCATTTTAGAGAATTTAACTGGCGTGATGCCCTGCTGCAAATTTATGTTCCTGATGTGTTTGTCGAAAGTTAGGCGGCTGTCAATATCACATTTGCGAAAACATGTTTGCATGGTACCAAGTTATTGTGATTCAAGATTCAAGCTTCAAAGATGTTTATTTGTGCATAAGACATACATTCATACAGTGAGTGTACAATGGAAGTTATGCATATGAGAATGACAGGTCACAGTACATGATTTGTTAGATGAAGCACAGGGGTGGCGAAAGACCCGAAGGTCATCAAAGTCTGCTACCCCTGAAACGAATTAGTTCATAGACAGGCAGCTGAATCATGATCGAGTTTATTGATTGAAACAAATCCAGCCATGTGAGTTATGACTAGCTCCAAGAAACGGTCTTGCTAGAGTACGTTAGAAGAATGCCACTAGGGACAGCGCGTCTCCCAAGTCCGACTCAGGGGAGAGATAGTGATCTGCTAGATGGCGCATTATTAATTAACAATTAATAAAATCAGTTAACCCTAATCCTAACCCTAATCCTTCCCCTATCCCTAATTAAAAAAAAATAAAAAAATAAAAATAATTTGGCGCCTTTCGGACTTGGGAGACGCGCTGCCCCTAGTCGCAGTGACGTTAGAAGACCCTGTATAGGCAATCAGTCGTACAGGCTACAGCCTCGTCGGGCTAAGTTATGACGTAACCTGAAAAGTTAGTTACTTTACTTATTAATAATAATACTAGGTAGTTTACTATTTTAGGTATTTACTATTAGTATTACTAGACTGAGCTAGCTGTAGTCTGAGCCAACGCAGACCCCAGTAAATAATGAGCACTGTTAAACTTAAACCCGCACCCTCAGATTAGCAAAGCCGAGTTATAACGTCTGCTAGACCGAATAATTCTGTCCCATATAACCTTTTTTATATTTTGGTGAGGGTTATCAGGGCTCAATTTTAACAGTCGTCCGGTCGTCCGTGACGACTGGATTTTCTCTCGGGCAACTACAAATTACTTCTGTGGTTGTCCGGTGTCCAACCTCTAAATTAATTTTTTATTTTTATTTTTTATTTTTTATTTTTGCTCATCTGTGATTTGACACAGTGTTAATGTAAATGTTATGAAATAAATTGCATGCAACTTTTAATTACTGTTATTATACGTCATTGATCCCAGCATCATTTACCACATTAATTACCAATATTTTATTCTCTTTATATAATGAGTGAAACAATGCGAATGGCCATGTCTGTTGTCACTGCAATACGTACAAAATGTACATGATTAGGCCTTTTGGCTTTACAGGCACTGAGCATCACGTGAGCAGAAGCGCATGTAGCACATGTTTTAAATAACACAGTGGCTATATGCCCGGCAGCCGGTATATCTGACGGCTGCCGGGCACGGTCTTCGATTTTCCCTAAATGCCCGCAGTTTTTAATTTTTAGCGTTATCTCAAAGTAAATAAGGGTAATTAGGGTTAGAGTTAGGATTATGGGTTAGGGTTAGGTGTTAGGGTTAGGGTTAGGTTTAGGCGTAGAGTTAGGGTTTTTGTTAGGTTTAGGGTTAGGGTTAGAGTTAGGGTTAAGAACTGCGGGCATTTAGGAAAACGAAAGACCGTGCCGGCTGCGGCAATATAGCCACAAGCGTTTAAATAATATCCGGACAACCAAAACTCTTGAGGGACAACCATATGCTACTCTCTTGGTTGTCCTCCGGACAACCCCCCAAAAAACTTGAAAACCTCCTGCACCTCCAACTCCAATCAACCTCCAAAAAATTGAGCACTGGTTATACAGGCCCCAATATAACCCTCACCAAAATATAAAAAAGGTTATATGGACAGAATTATTCGGTCTAAACGTCTGCGTGCGGACAAAGCTAGCTGCATCTCACAATGTGTCCTTACTTCGACTTGCATGTGAGGTACTGGTGGACGAAGATCTTGGTCAGCAACAAGAGATAAATACATCAACATACAAACTATCTTTGGCCCGCAACACATAATTATTGTAACAAAATTTATTACTTTACTCTCCTCTCATCGCTAAGCACGCCATCTTTCAACACAAAACTTAAATTGTTTTCATTCGTTCTCGACTGCTCCACTTATTCGCTGTGTTGTTGTGGCGCCACTAGTTGTGACGGGCAAGTTCACGCGACTGCATAAATACGTAAACTGAAGGAAATAAGTGTGAATACCTCGTATGCATTGCGTAAGTAGTGTTTTATTACACCATATTTAGAAATTTCAGTCTAAATAATAGGCTTGTACATGGCATTTTAAAATTAGAGTGAGTGGCAACACTGAATATAAAACAATTACAATTGGTAGTTACTAGGTCTGACTCTACGCCACGCCCACGGCACTGGAGCCCTGCCACCACAGCACTTGGACCGTTTCAATAATAAAATGATGGTTAATAAATACAACTCTGTCAGTACTACTACTAGCCCTACAGTACCAGTACCAGCAATAGTCTTAATGTTTGATATAACTTCACTTCAACACCGTCCAATAGACGCTGCAAACACATATAGCCCGCACGCCATTGTGCATGCACAGATACACAGTAGCCCGACCAGGCTGTGCGACGGATTGTCTATACAGCCTGACACCCTTCCATACAAAAAACCTATCACCTCTGCAGATCTAGATGAATAACTCTGTATATCTCAAATAAAAACTATTCCATTACCACCTTTAACTTGCCTTGTTTAAAAATATGAACGTTAACTCACAGTTGTCCTGCTTCTAAACAGAATGTATCTCTTAATTCCACGGTAATAATCTGCTAATTCTCACAGCATATCAACTTTCAAATCAGCTTTAACGCCATGTTTAGCAAGGCACGGAAAACCCGAAACGGAATAGACTCGCTAGAAAATACTACAGAAATATGTACGATGGCTCTCAAGGCAATTACACACACAAAGCAAGTGAAACGATGTTCGAAAATGTCTGGGCCATTTGTAAAAAACCTTAGATGACATGTTCTCGGATGTAGGGGTGGTTTACTTGATGACCGCAGATCGTTTAATTTCCTTTGTTCGATCCATTGCAGATTTAGTCACAGTCGGAATGATAGCAAAACATGGTGGCAAATTCATATAATTTGGTTGCATTTGTCTCAAAAGGTTGCCTGTAACCTCGTAAGTACCAGCGCATCGTAGCGCACTGATGTTACAAGAAGGTGGACGTTTACTGATTCATTGGTATATCACATGTGTGGACCTGCTGTTCTTTGGCGATACTTGGATTATAAGGCAACTACGTGTTTAGCTGCAGCATGTGTTCAACGGTATTCCTATACCCTAGCAATACGCGTTTCTTGGAGCTAAGATACACAGTAGGTTAGAGCTCTAACCTACTGTGTATCTGTGCATGCACAATGGCGTGCGGGCTATATGTGTTGCAGCGGTGTATTGGACGGTGTTGAAGTGAAGTTATATCAAACATTAAGACTATTGCTGGTACTGGTACTGGTAGGGCTAGTAGTAGTACTGACAAGTTGTATTTATTAACCATCATTTTATTATTGAAACGGTCCAAGTGCCTGTGCCTGCCCACTTGCCACTGCATGGCACTAGTGTAGCTTCATCAATATACAGAATCGTGGGCAAAATTTGAACATCTAGTACATTATTTATCAAACAAAGTTAGTTGTTTTAGAGATTTTTTAGAGATTTTATCAAATAGAAAAGATTCATCAATATGTACCTGGACTACTACAATGTGGGCAATAACTTTTAACAATCTAGTACATTATTTATATAACAAGGTTAGATGTTAAAACACTATAAAGAACAATGTATTATATAATGTTAATAGCAATTAATTAGAAATAAGAAAGTAATGAGTGTAACTATTCTCAGGGTGAAGGTGTCTTGGTCACTTACGCTGCCAGTGTCTATGTCTCCCTGGGTACTGCCGGCAACGTACCCTGGTACTATCTAATATGCCGGACCGTACCTCGCCTACTCCACTAACGAGTCTAGGAGGTCACCTACGCCTACTCCTAACCCTAACCATATCAGATAGTTACCAGGGTATGTTCGCGGTATACCGACCGTACCCAGGGTACGCTCCGGCATACCCAGGGAGACATAGACCCTATCCATCACTACTTGTAGCACATACCTACAGAAAATGAATTCGTGTGTCCTGTTCTAGCCGCTAGACAATCAATCAAATTGTTACTTTAGATTCTTATGGAAGTTCTTTATTAGCTATATTTTATATTATATATATATATATTATTAGGGCTGTAACGATACACAAGCCTCTCAGATTCGATCCAGTTCTCCGATATTACCCTCTCGATTCGATTCCTTCCGATTCGATTCCCAAAATATTGAAATGTTTTTCTATTTTATTTATATTTTTCTTATTTTGCAATAATAAATTATTAGAAATTGCCAATAACTACCTAAATGGTGAATAGACTAGAAGAGTCTAGAGAGTATATATCATAGAGATGTATACTATTTATACATCTCTATGGATATATATACACTGTAAAGCACATCGCGAGTAAAATTGGTGAGTAACACTCCACAGTATATAGCGTAGTGCCGCCATCTATTGGAGGAAAAAAGTGGTATCGAAGTGGAATCGAAAATACGGGGAAAAATATTGAGGATCGGATCGAGGGAAGAGAATCGCGATCCGATTTGATTTCGGTGGATCGTTAGCCCTAATATATATTCTACATTATTAGCTATATAATGTTAAAGTTAGTTATATATATATGTGCTATGAAAATATATCAAGTACACGTTCTCCATCTTGAAGCAATGAGATCGTAAAATAATACTCATACTGATAAAATTTATGTTTGGCAGATTTTTATAAAAAGTTTGTGTGTGACAGAAAAATAAATCTACATTCATCATTATTCCATCCGTATATCCCCTGATTCACAAAAATCATCATTTATCTTTATTCCCCCTATACATAGTTTTCACTGACGTCACACATACGGGCACTTAGTTTACCCGCCGCCATCTTGTAGGTCAAGCGATCGCCGGCGATTCGCCGCTAGACTAGCGCTAGACTTATGCCTCTATTCCACACAGACCACGAATCCCACGAATCGCTACGAATTGATAAATTTTAGGATTTGTAGTTGAATCGTAATCAGTTCGTGAAGTTCTTAACTGATTCGTATTTATTCGTAGTCAGTTCTTTCAATTCTTGAGCGATCGGGAATTCGTGGCAAAAGTTTTGAGCTGTTCAAATCTGGTTAAAATACGATGTTTCGAACTAGTGACATGTTGGCAGTGTTGCGCAACCGGCTGACTAACACACTTGACCTAGAAGATGGCGACCCGTATCACGTGACCACAGGCCGTGACGTCATGTGAAATCTATCTATATCCTTTCTATTGGGGTTACACAAGTCGCCATTAATCTTTAACCACCTATACTCTGTTTTATATTGTAAAATGTATCAGTTACTCATACCAATGTTTTTTTCAGTAAGATATTATATAAGGACATTTAATATATAAAATCTAGTACTAGTAAAGCTACACCTAGTTATCTCCAGTGTCACACAACAGTGATTGATAGGCAAATATCACAGATAAGGTCTACGTCGCCCTGACCTCTGTCTGACCTGGCTCGTTTAGCTATTTCTGACTAATATATATATATATATCAGTGTTCGAAATGAGAAAAAAAATGTGGTTGTCCTGCGGACAACCCAGGCATCAAATCGGGTTGTCCGCAACAATTTCTGGTTGTCCCCAAAAAATATCCTCAAATCTCCTATTTTCAATCACATAATAATATGGTCAGAAAACACCCAAAAACAGTAGTGTAGCCAGGATTTTTTAACAAGGGTGGCCAAACACAGCAAACTGTGCAAAATAGTGGCTGACTTAATATTTTAATGGCTCCTCCGCCTCCCTCTCCACACCTAATGGCTCCTCCGCCTCCCTCTCCACACCCTACGGCTCCTCTACCTTCTCTGCAATCTTTGTTTTGGGTGCCATGTGAATAGGCGACATTTTTGTTCATTGTTCTAACTCGCTAGAAAATACTACAGAAATAGTACGATGGCTCTCAAGGCAATTACACACCAAAGCAAGTGAAACGATGTTCAGAAATGTCTGGGCCATTTGTAAAAAACCTTAGATGACATGTTCTCGGATGTAGGGGTGGTTTACATGATGACCGCAGATCGTTTAATTTCCTTTGTTCGATCCATTGCAGATTTTAGTCACAGTCGGAATGATAGCAAACATGGTGGCAAATTCATAAATTTGGTTGCATTCGTCTCAAAAAGTTGCTGTAACCTCGTAAGTACCCAGCGCATCGTAGCGCACTGATGGTTACAAGAAGGTGGACGTTTACTGATTCATTTGGTATATCACATGTGTGGTGTTCTTTGGCGATACTTGGATTATAAGGCAACTACGTGTTTAGCTGCAGCCTGTGTTCGAAACGGTATTCTAACCCTAGCAATACCGTTTCTTGGAGCTAAGATACACAGTAGGTTAGAGCTCTAACCTACTGTGTATCTGTGCATGCACAATGGCGTGCGGGCTATGTGTTGCATCGGTGTATTGGACGGTGTTGAAGTGAAGTTATATCAAACATTAAGACTATTGCTGGTACTGGTACTGGTAGGGCTAGTAGTAGTACTGACAAGTTGTATTTATTAACCATCATTTTATTATTGAAACGGTCCAAGTGCCTGTGCCTGCCATTGCCACTGCATGGCACTAGTGTAGCTTCATCAATATACAGACGTGGGCAATAATTTTGAACAATCTAGTACATTATTTATCAAACAAAGTTAGTTGTTTTAGAGATTTTTTAGAGATTTTATCAAATTAGAAAAGATTCATCAATATGTACCTGGACTACTAAATGTGGGCAATAACTTTTAACAATCTAGTATATTATTTATATAACAAGGTTAGATGTTAAAACACTATCAAGAACAATGTATTATATAATGTTAATAGCAATTAATTAGAAATAAGAAAGCTAATGAGTGTAACTATTCTCAGGGTGAAGGTGTCTTGGGTCACTTACGCTG